CACAACTGTCTCCTTTATATAGTGCAGTATTTATACTTCTCAGATCTGGGAATTTTTTTCCTCTTCCTCCGCCTTCACAATCTACAAATGATAGTTTTATGACCTGGTCTAATCAGCATCTGCTTTGTCAGACTCCTCTTATGTGTCTTTTTGACCAAAAAATGGCCTATAGATGTGTTTATTTGGCCCCACACAGCAATACAATTTTTTAAAAAGCTTTTAAAAACCAGGAGACACTAAAAATATATCTTTTTTTTTTTTTTTGCTTCCTTTGGACAAATCACAAGATCTGTGAATCCTGGGCCCACATTCCCCAGAGCAACAATGTGTGGTAATAGCCCTCTGGACGGGCTATGTGTTCCTAGGCCACCACTCCCAAGTGTGTTCCTGCCCGAGGCCCCTTTGCCATTTACCATCTCATTGCTGGTTATTTTTGCTTGCACCTGGCCCACCTCACTCAGTCACATTCCCTGCATGGCCCCTGGAGCATTGTTTGAGTTTGTGACTCCTGGTTGGGTGGCCATTGCAAATCAGGGACAGGTTGAAGCAGGGTTTAAACCACTGATGAATCGGGGCCCAGATTGGCCTTCTGCCTCAAGGCTCAAAGTAGACATAGATTGATGGTACAACTTCAAAGGCAGAAGAGACACTTCTAAGAGTTTTGAAAGAACTGCCGCTACTTGCCTGTATAACGTCTATTGTACCTTTCAAGAGAATTATATGATGTTTAAATACAATAAATGAAAGTTTCCAGAAATAGATATAAATACTTGGGAAGAATGCTAGCAAGTCTTAAATTTGAATCACCTTAAAGACGCAAGACGAGATTCAAACTCTTAGAATTTCTTTGTAAAATAAAGAGTACTTTATTGTCACCCTTTATGATTTCTGTGTCCTGTATAGTAATAAATGTTTGCGGAAGGAGGGAAGGAGAGAAGAAAGGAAGGAACTCCTTGACCACAGGGATTGGCTCGTCCAGTTTCTTTTTTTTTAATTTAGTTTTTATTTGTAAATAATTAGAAGAAGAAGCTGCAAAAGTAGTACGGAGAGGTCCCGTGTTAGATTTCCCTAATGCTAGCATCTTCCATAACTCTCGGCCAATCCCTTATTCTTATTCCACATATTAGGTGCTCAATAAAGTTTATTGAATGAATTCGTTTGCATATAGAAAATGAATGTTATCAGCTACGGATTTAGCTGGCTAGTCTCTTTATTTTATTACCTTTGACTAGGTAGTATATGCACATGGAGCTAATTCAATAGGTACAATGGGTAGACAGGGAAAAAAGGTCTCCCTCCTTTCCCTGCTTCCCAGTCACCCAGATGCCTTTCCAGAGGCAACTGTTTATCCATTTCTTATGTCTCCTTCCACACATAGTTAATGTTTGCAAACCCTCATGAATCTTACCCACTCCCCTCCACTGTAACATACCATATGAACATTTTTTTCACTTAGCAGTATATATCGAAGATCATCACATAGAAGGTCATAGAGTGCTTGTTTATTTTTTAAATGGCTATTGAATACGAGTCCTATTATATATTAAGTGGGTATACCATTATTTAACTAATTCCCTATTGATGGACATGTAGGTTGTTTCTTGTCTTTTACTATTAGAAACAACGCTGCGGTGAAGATCCATGTCTGTTTTTACTTAGCACAGATATAGTCTCTTTAGGTACTAAAGAATATGTTTATAGATTTGAAATCCCTATACTTCCCTCTTTGGTCATATAAATAGAACATTGATGGTGGAACATTTCCCAAAGCTTTGTGCGGTTTTTGGCCTAAGTCAGTGAGATTTGCCAAAGGTCTGGCAGCTTTAACTGATGCTGATGCACCTGTTCTTGGTTATTTTCATCTGAGCTGCGTCTGATCAGTAGAGAAAAGAACAAGATAAGTTACGCTCAGGATGTCCTAACTAGGGATGTGCCATGAAAAATAATGAATGGGTTTGACTTCTCTTCATTCCTATCACTCGATCCAGTCCTTGCTCCTAGCCAATGGGTCTTATCTCTTATTTGAAGTTATTTCCTATCTCCCCTCACTGCCCATCAGATTTTGGTGAAATTACATTACTCAGTAAGTATCTCCGTTTCTAAACAGTTTTACAACTGGTGAGAGATGAATTGTGTTACCTTTGTGTTGCAGACCTGTGTTTTATTAACCATGTATTTCTTTAAACAGAGCTTTAAAAATTGAAGTCAGTTTCTTTTTTGACCCTTGTCTAGGTTTTTGTTGCAGTCCTTGAGGGGAAGGACTGTTGCTCTTCTCCACATTCGGAATTTATTTTGGTCCCATGAAGTCCAGTGCTCCTAAGCAGCTGTTAGTTAACAAGCTGCCCCAAATGTCTGAAAAATGGGAGGGATACAAAACGATGAGCTTATCACTCATTCATTTAGTCATTAATTCATGCAACAAATATGTCTCGAGTGCCTACTCTGGGCCAGGCAGCCTTGGCCTAAGTCAGTGATCAAGACAAGATCCTTGCCAATATAGAGTTTGTTATCTGGCATGTGTGTATGTGGGGTGTGGAAGAGAGACAGAAATAAGTAAGCAAATCATTTAGTATGTTAGAAGGTGATAAATGCCACAGGGGTGGAGAGCTGGGGGCAGGCCAAGGGAGATTGGGATTTGGGGAGAGGGGGTACACTGACATTTTAAATAGAGCAGCCTGGGTTCCGAGGGTGTGAGATTTGAACTAAGCCTTCAAAAGAGCAGAGAATAGCCTTACACAGTATCCTGTGTGTAGGTATATGTGTGTGTGTTTTCATGAAAATACCACTAATGGCTTTGAAATTTTTTAACAACTGTATTGAGATATAATTGACATACCATTAAATTCATCATTTTACAGTGTATAATTCATCAGGTTTTAGTATATTTACAGAGTTGTGCAACCATCAGCATTATCTAATTCCAGAACATTTTCATTACCCCCAAAAGAAACCCATTAGCAGTCACTACCCATTCCTGCCTCCCTCCAGCTTCTGGCAACCACTAATTTACTTTCTGTCTCTGTAGATTTGCCTATTCTGGACATTTCATATAAATGGAATCATATGCTATGTGGTCCTTTGTGACTGGCTTCTTTCACCTACGGTAATGTTCTCAAGGTTCATTCATGTTGTAGCTCTGTATCAGTACTTCATTCCATTGTATGGATATATTGTTTTTATTGACTTGTTCATCAGTTGATGGTGACCTTGAATTTTAAATATTGCAAAGTGTCAATTGGTGGGCTGTAGTAATTGACTTCCCCCTTAATGACTGGACTGTGCCACCTAGGGGGAGATATCAGGACTGATGTTGCCCAGACCCAGCCAGCACTGGTTCAGCTTGGTTCTGAGGGAACTTACAAAGCAGCTGTACTCTGAGCTCTGCTTTCCCAGGTGCCTCCCTCCTAAGCAGAAACTCTGGGTGGTCCAAATGTGGCAATGCAGATCCGTGGATTTTTGCAAGTGTATTTTCTATTCCACATTTTGAAAATATTTTTTCTATTCTAAAATGTAACCTTGGTAAGTTGTTTACCCAAGACAATACTCATTGAGTTTTCTTTTTGTCTTTTTAATATTTTGGGTGTGGTAGCAAGTAGAAGCAGATCATCCTAACCAAATATTTGCGAATATCTGAACAAAGCCATTTTGCTGAGAGAAGGAAAAGTCCACTGAGGAAGTGGAAATTGAATCTCAATTTTGAAGGAAGGGTTCGATTCTCATAGGACTAGACGAGGACAGAAAAGGCATGTTCCAAAGAGGGGTGGGGACTTGAAAAGTTTATCTCCTGGACGATTGGGGACCCCTAGGCCCTGGAGCACGTATTTGGTACATTAATTTGGCAGCCATCATTCTGTGCATAAAGACTGATGGTGTTGGAATACTCTGGCCTTCTGCACACGGAGAGACTCAAAGTTTCAGAACCCCTCTTGGAGGGTGTTTGAGTTACAGTCTTTGGGCTGCAGAAAGATGGACTCCATCAGAATTCCATGGCTAAATGGCCCCCAACTCCGCCCCCCAGTTGAGTAACTATCTTAGCGACACCGGGGCAAGAACCAAACGCGTCCCGGCACGGCTGAGCTGCAAACGGCTCTGACCCGCGGGGGCTTTTTCCATTCGATCCTAGAGGTGGGGGTGAGGGTGGAGAGCCTGGTGCGGGCTCCTGGGAACTATGGATTGGGGCCGCAGAGCCGGGAAGGACAAGGCCCTAACTACCGCACCGGACCAGGAGGCGTGGGGCCTCCAGAGAGAACGCAGTCGCCTGGCAGCAGGATGCTGTCAGGGTTCCCGCCGAACTCTGGCAACGGTAAGGAGAAATGTCTGCCGCCGGGGGCGGAGCGCGGATGAAGGGGTGGAGCTAGAGCGTGGGGGCGGAGCGAGGATGAGGGGGCGGAGCGAGGGCGATGGGGCGGAGCAAGAGGTAGGCGGTGGGCGGAGCGAGAACAATGGGGTGGAGCGCAGGCGGTGGCGGGCGAGGGGCGGGACTGGGACGAAGGGGCGGGGCGAGATCGGGGGCGTGCCCGGCCGTCGGGCCGCCCCCCACCGCGCCCGCCCCGCCTTCCCGCTCCCCCCCGGCAGCCGCGGCGGTCGAGTGCGGGGAGGGAGGGGAGAGCGGGTCACGACGTTGCCGGGGCGGGGATAACCCCTCACGTGGAGCAGATGAAAGGGCCGCGGCGCGACGGCCGGGGGAGCCGAGCCGAGCCTGCGACCCACAAAGCCGCCGCCGCCGCCGCCGCGATGGGGCTGTGAGGCGTCCGCCCGCGCTCGGTCCTCCGCCGGCCCGCGACTATGCCCGGCCGCGCCCGCCCTCCGCGCCCTCCCGCCGCAGGACCATGAGGCCGCGCTCGGGCGGGCGCCCAGGGGCCCCGGGCCGCCGCCGCCGCCGCCTCCGCCGCCGCCCCCGCGGCCCCCGCGGCCCCCGCGGCCGCCGCCTGCCGCCGCCGCCGCCGCTGCCGCTGCTGCTCGGGCTGCTGCTGGCGGCCGCGGGGCCCGGCGCGGCGCGGGCCAAGGAGACGGCGTTTGTGGAGGTGGTGCTCTTCGAGTCGAGCCCGAGCGGCGACTACACCACCTACACCACCGGCCTCACGGGCCGCTTCTCGCGGGCCGGGGCCACGCTCAGCGCGGAGGGCGAGATCGTGCAGGTAGCTGCCCGCCGCCCGGGCCCCGCGCCGCCGCCGCCACAAGATGGCTCCGGGGGCTGCGCCCGCCGACCCCGCCGCGGGCTGGCGGGCGGGCGGGCGGGCGGGAGGGGCGGCGTGGAGGCCGGCGGCATCCCTCCCCGGCCGGCAGGCGGGACGTGGCCTCTAGCGCGCCGCAGCGGGGGGCGAGTGCACGTGGGGGCTCGGCCTCCTGTGGGTCCGGGGGGCGGGAGGGGGACCCCGGGTCCGGATACCCACGTTGGGCCGGCCCCCTTGGGCCGGTTGGGCATTTCGGTTTGCCTCAGGTGGAAGTCCTGGAACTACCTGTTGAATGCCAACTTTGGAAAGATGAGTGATGAAGGATGGGGTGGCTTGTTTCAGGTCACAGGCTTTGCTTTCCATCCCTGCATGTTCTTTTTGAGATTAGCCAGGTTTGTCTGCGGCTGTACAACATTAGGTTCTTTCCTGGAACCTGCCGCCAGCTTCACCTGGGCGCTGACCCCCCTGCAGGGCTCTGGACAAGCAGCAGCAGGCAAGGAAGCAGGGGGAGCTGGCCGAGGAGTGGGGATCGCGAGTGCCCTGGAGTGGCCGTAGAAGGCAGCCTTCGCTGCGTGCCTCAGATTACAGAGGGTGGGAGGGAGACTGCCTGCCCGCTCCTGGGCCAAGGACTTCTGCGGAGGGCCTGGAAATTCTGGAAATCGGGAGACAGGGTCGCTCACTGACAGGGCCTCCCCACCTTGCTCCCAATGAGAGAGGTCTGCATTCCAAAGGGAGCTGGCGAAGGGGAGCTTTTAAGCCGTGCCTGCACTTTGGAGGAGGGACTGAGCTGAAGTCTCTGCGGTTGCTGAGCTGGGTAGATGCCTTCCCGCTTCCTTGGCTATGATTTTATCAACTTGTTAGTAGACTGCCAGCGCACTTACGGCGGTTAATATGCATGCCTCGGATGCGGGCGATGAAATGGTTGGCTTGATTTGGAGCCGTTTTGGAGGTGATGGGATGGCTGCAGGGCTCTAAGCTTGGGGCCTTGTGTGCTTTACTTTGGATGAGTTATGAATGAAGAGAAGGAAACTGTATGGATGATTGCATAGCAGCCTCTTCCTTTCCCCTCCCGTGGTGCGTGCTCAAAGCCCTGCGTGGATAGGACAGGGAGCTGTGCAGCTTGGCTCCTTAGAGGTGTGTCCTTACAAAGCTGGGGGAGGCACCCCTGCCAGGCGATTAATCAGCAGCATTGCCTCACAGGACTCTTATCCCCATCTTAAACTTCTGCAGGGTGAATAGAAGGGGTAACACATGTTTGAGTCCTGTGACTGCATATTTAAAGGCTTTTGGACTTTTTTCCTTGCTCATGTTATAATTACGGTCTTTAATTTGTAAGCTTTAGAGAAGATGGTCTGCTGAAGATTCCTACACATTTTAGTGGCAGCTTTCAGGAACAGTTTGAATCTTAAAGCTTGCTCCTTGTGACTCCTTGTTTCTCTTTGAGGCTTTCACTGTGCCCTGGTGGCTTTAGAAATGTTTGACTTACAGCCTTCTAAGAGAAAGGATGTTTTAACGTGGCACTTCACTTTTTGAAGGAGACTTTTGAAATTTGCGATTTTTATCTGCAGTGTTTTAAACTTGGACTCTTTGTCCACGGTAGTTTGTCTGGTGGGCTATCCATTATGGGTAGTGCTGGGCTTTGGAGATAATCTTGGGTTCACCATTTAATACAAAATTAGCAGTTTAAGCACACCATTTGTAGCCATTTTATCCTTGTAAGTAGAGCGAGAATGTATGAATTTGGCAGAAGGAATCTATTCTCTTCTGAATCTTTTTGAAGTGCTTATCTAACTTTTGTAGTCCATTAGCCTAGTGCCCCCCCAATTAAGTCAACAGTTGCTAAGTAAAGAAAAATGACTTAAATGGTATTTAATAAGTTGACTTGTTAAGCAATCACTAATAGGTGTCCTTAATTCCTTTATAACTGCACAGTGTGTTGGTGAGTTTATCTGAGCTGCCTGAATAGTCATTTCTTGGTGTTCTCACTCCATATATTTAATAACTTTGTTGTGGGGGCCTACTTGCTGAACCTCTCAAGTGCAGAGACGAGCTCAGCGTGGCTCTCAGGGCTGTGTACAGAGGCTGGCATGCTTTTATTAGTTCTTCCAGTACTGCCTGATTGCAGTAACTGGTGTGGCCCCTGTCAGCCCTGAAAAATGTTTTTGTAAGGGAAGCTGGTGTCTCAGGACCGCTGAGAGGGAATGTAACGTTTTGTATGAAAAATGAGAAGGTAGAAGAAACAAATTGGTGTTCAGCTTCAGATTAATCATGTTTTCTAAGTGCCTTGTTGAACTTTTCAAACCTCCTTTTATTTACTATCCTAAAATAACCGTGTGTGATTTGCTATTTAGTATTTTATGGTCTTCAGAGCAGTTCATTTTCCTGTAACTAAACCTAAACAGTGGCACTGAAGCATTGTTTATTTTCAGTGGGGTTCGATAGTGCTGTTGTTCGTGGTTAAGGGGAGAAAAAGACCTGTTCGGGAGTCTCTTTAAGAGTTCTAAGATAGGAAATTGGTTTGTATTACTGTTTTTCCTCGCTCCCTATTATATACAATGATGGGAGATACCTTATCATAGTCTGGTTTGCCCCAGATACTTCTAATTAGGGTACCTGTTTGTCATTTGCATGGATTAGGGGAAGGGGGGGCCTGGTTAAGACAGAGAGAGAGAGAGTGTGTGTGTATGTGTGTGTGTGTGAGTGTCAGAGAGAGATAGTAATTCAAACCTTGGGATTAGTCACCAGGATTCTTGGTTCTCTTCTTGTGCATTTTAGGCTTAAATAACTTCCCCAAGGTCACCAGTGTGCTCTGTTAAGAAGAGAGATTTTTTTTTTCTTTTTTGACATCTTCATCTGTGGAAATAGTGAAAACTGTGTGGATATGAAATGCTATTAATTAATTATATTATCTTATTTATTCATGCAGCACTGAAGTCCATTTGCTCATAAGAGTGTCAGGCATACAGTGTGAATGCTGGAGGAATTACAGTTCTGTCATTCTGAAGTGTGGAACTTTCAAGCGTTCTTAGACATATTGATACATATTTCATCTTTGAACCAATTTGTTGCTATTATGAGATCATTATCTGAAACTTTCAGACTTGGCTGCACAACTCACATGGTTAGTGATGTTAAATAAAGGCCTGATTAAGCACTGGCTAGTGGTATGTGGATTGGTTAAACAAACAAAGAAAATTTGCATTGCTAGAGATGAAAGATTGTTTTAAAGTGGAAAAGCATTCCCCCCCCCTTGAAGTCAAATATTTAGAAACGCTTGAGAAATTCATTTGTAGGACTCTGAATGATAGGTTTTGTGTAGCTCTAAAATTGGCCTTTCTGTATCCTCGGTTAAGTGTTGAATGGTCTTGAAAGCAGAGGAAAGTTGAGAATATTTAAGAACTAAGCCAGCGCCTTTAGCTATGAGGGGTCGGGGGAAGCTGGGTAGTGGGTTAGAAGGACTGAGTGACATCCTTAAATATCCAATATTAACTAAGGGCATCACAGAGAATAATTTTAGGAAACTAATTCTTCTGCCTTGTTGCCCTGTCAGTGTGTTTCTGCAGTTCGGTATTTGATCAAACCCTTTTCTTTTCATCTCCATTTTAAGTTAAGAGGCCTGCCTCTAAAAATTGACTTGGCCTCATAGAACAATTGTGTGTTGGCAGCTGATCTGGATTTACACAGAAAGAGATTGCTGACTGTCTTGTCAAAGGGCCTTCATAGGTTAAAACCAAGCATTTGATTTGGGGGAAAACATTAAGGCTGTGTTTTGTGACCTTATGAATTCTTAGGGGCCCTTATTTTCTGCCTTATTCTCTAAGATCCCATGGGAGCTGTTAATGCAGCGCCGAATGGAGATGCAGATGGGAGTGGGAGGTTTAAGCGTGGAATCTGCAGACCAGAGGGAAGGTGGTGATGGCCTCCATTTATTGTGTACAGGGCACTCTGCCAAGCACATTATGTCTTTACTCATCGCCTCCTGACTTTAACATGGAATTAGCAACTACTGTTAACCCATTTTACAGATGAGGAAACTGAGGCTGAGAAAGGCGATTTGATTTACCCCAACCTCACCCAGCTAGCAGATGATAAAACCTGGATCGAAACCCAGGTCTGTCTGGCCCCTTTGCTTCTGTTTTTGCCAAATACGTAGAACTTGGCTGGTTAGATTTGGGCATTAATTTGAGTCTAATTTCTAGCAATCTAGTATAGGGGTTCTTAACCTGAAGGTCATAGACTTCCAGGGAGGGCCTGTGAACCCTTGAAATTATATACACAGTTATATACACAATGCACTTGTGGATGTACTCTTATGTTTTCCTGAGAAGATACAATTTTGCCTCTTTTGGGGTTCTGTCCTGCCCCTTCTCCCCAGGAGGAAAAAGAGAAGCACTGATCTAATACTCATCATCAAAGAGTCCATTACTAAGAATTTGGAGTGATGTGGGGCTCAGCTGGCAAGAGTTGTAGAGAAGTCTACAGGTCTTTGTGTCTCCATTGGGCATGTTCATCTGGTTTATTAAAACCCTATTTTCAGACACTGTATTGCTGGTTTTTGGAGTCCACAGTCTCTATAGAGACAGACATGTGTATGGATAAATGAAAATCCTTCCCAAGTGGGTTTCCCCATGGAATTGAGCCCTTAGTTCCCAAGACATCCATTGTCTATAATGAATTAACTTCTCTCCTGGGCATCCATCTGGTACTAGTTAAATGCATTATCCTTGGGTGAAGTGAGAAAATAGTCCCTCAAAGAATTTTTGCATTTAGCGCAAAAAGGTGGCAATCTGAATGCAGCATGTGGGAGAGTAGACTGTAAATGTGTTCCTTTTCATCATTTCCTGGAAAATGAAATGGAGCATCTTTCGACGTTGAAATGCCTTAAAAATAACTCCTCACACCTTCTCTTGTGGCCCGTGGCCCCATGGGCATTGGTCTGTTTGTTTTTACTCATCCCTGGATCC